CACAGACACACACACAGACAGACACACACCACCACCACACTTCCAAGCTATCTAGAGGCATTATCACACTTCAAGAACCACTTCCAGACATGCAGACACACTCAAATATGATGTGGCCTCTGGGCAGGTGTGTAGCCTGAGGAGAGTCTAGCAGGGCACATCTGGATGACTGTAAGCCTTCAGAGTTCAAATGTATTCAGAGAATTGTTGTTTATCCCAGTCAATTTTGTGGGGCCACTGCAGTGAGTTGTTTAGCATCGTGCCTGCCCTCTCTTTTACTCTTTGTCATATCATTTACAGGGAATTGTTTCTGCTGCCTGACAGTTCAATAAATTCCTCACATTTCCACATCACTGACATTTTTATTCAGGAAAGGCCTTTTAAAAAACCCTCTCATACCCTGTGAAGTGCAGTTTTGTTCTTCTTACTTTGCGTTTGTTTGTGAGAAAGAGAGAGAGAGAGAGAGATAGATGTGTGTCTTCCCTTTTAAACTAGTTTGTGAGCATTGATGATATTTGGTGAGAGTCTGTCCTAGTTTTGCACAATGTATTGTGGTACAGCACCTGCGACTGAAACTTTTCCATTTCATCGTTCTAAATTATACCACTCAAAAACATTGCAATTATTCTTCCTACCAAGCTATATAATTTAGGCAGGAAAGAGTTCAGGAAAAGCACTTAAAAACACTGTTTCTGTGCCAAAGCTGTTCTTGTTCCCATCACATACATAAGCAGCATGTGTAATCTGCCTGCTTGGTTTTAATAAAAGACATTGAAACCACTCAGCTGATTTGCACACACAAAGAGTCACCTGGAAATTCATGGTCTGTAGGCAATAATGATATGGTTTAATTTGCTAAAAAGTTGCTGGTGTACCTTTGAATTTAAGTTATAATGTCTCCCCAGGCCTCCCACCCCATGGCGGAGAGCAGCTTAGACCAAGGAGGCTACAGAGTTTCTCTCTGACATCAGAGAAGCTAAGCCAATGGTAGCCAGGGTCTATGACCCCTCTTGTTTCACAGACTGGTTGTGACAGTAAAGCAGATGAGGCATTTGCTCCTTTGCAGAGCTAGTTTTTGAAAACGTGTTACACATTTCCCCTCTTACGATTCTTCTCCCATTCTGCAAAATCTCATTGATCTCCCAAGAAATAATGAAGTCACCAAATATTATTAACCTACGAAGAAGGCAGTTTGCTTCCCACTTCTATCCTGGTAATTAGATGGCACTTCCCAGGGGCAAAAGGGCTCTGCTGTGGGCTAGCAAAATGCTACCAGTGTCAGCTCTTAGATCACTTCATTATAGCTGGGCTGTGTGGTGCCTGAAGAGGCTTCATGTTGGGAATGGCGATGTGGAAGTCTGCAAATGGCACAGCGGCAGAGAGAAGACCTCCTCGCTCCTTGTGATAGCTTTACTCCTCTGGAATGTCAGCAGTAATCAGGGAGCAGGTTCTGCTCACTCCCAATAAAGTGGAAAAGCATTGCTATTTTCTTTTTATGGATAAGTTACCGCTAGTTGGCAATTAGGAGGTCACATGGCCAAAAGCAGACCAAATACAATTGACCTACTCACAACTCGAAAACAGGCTGGGGAACTTGTGGCCTTCTAGATGCTTCTGAATTACAGCTCCCATCAGCCTCCTGACCAGCTGGGGCTGATGGGAGTTGGAATTCAGCAACAGGGCTGCAGGTTCCTCACCCCTTTCTTAAAAGGACACCTTTAGCACCTGCTCAACTATATGTAGGACTGCAGGCTAAGTGAACTGCGTGTATTCTTGTAATATTTCCATCACTACAGTGGTACCTCGGGTTAAGAACTTAATTCGTTCTGGAGGTCCATTCTTAACCTGAAACTGTTATTAACCTGAAGCACCACTTTAGCTAATGGGGCCTCCCGCTGCCACTGCGCCACCACCGCACGATTTCTGTTCTCATCCTGAAGCAAAGTTCTTAACCTGAGGTACTATTTCTGGGTTAGTGGAGTCTGTAACCTGAAGCGTCTGTAACCTGAAGCATCTGTAACCCGAGGTACCACTGTACTTAGTAAACCATAAGAAAGCACTTAATCCCATTTCACAGAAAGGAGAATGCTTCAAGTGTTGGCAGAGCTCCTGGCAGGAGCCACTTCCTAGTAGCCAGGGCATACCACAGGTATCTATCCTCCACCATCTTGTAAAAATCTGGGGGTATTAGATATTAAAGAGAGTTTCATAGAGTTCTCAGTGCAGGATCTCAGTGCAGGAAATACACTACTCCAGCAACCCTGATAGGTGGCTCTCCAGCTTCTGCTTAAACTGGAAGGTCATACAAGCCACCGAAAGCAATTCAGAATAATAATTACAATGAATGGATACTCAAGAAAATTTTAAACAACTGCAAAGGCCTGTCAGCATTTTTTTAAAAAAGGCTTTGCTGTGCATGTAAAAACAAAATATGTGTGCATAATATCAGCATGTTTCCCACCATAGGTATCACACACATACATGCTCAGACTGATGGCATCTTCCCTCTCCATGTAATGATAAGCAGTGTTTACAGCATGGAATATGTAATGGTCTTTAACTATTATTAAAAATCACAACTACTTGATTTTGTAAGGATACTGCACCAGATCTTTTTTGGAAGGGGTCATAGTTTCTACCTGAATGTACAACAAACAGCTTGCTGATTCACCTTATTTTGTACTCTGTCCTGATTAGTGCTCTATTTCTACTTGCGAATATGATGGCCATATTGTATTTCCCTTCTATCAACTCTTTATTGTACCACGATCCTGGTCTGAGACTCAACTTCTTCAGGAGATGAACCTGGGGAGAAGGAATTGCCCTCAGGGCCAGCCCCAGAAGCACCTGTGCAACTGCAAGCACCTTCTCAAGAAGAGCCTGTGGTGCCAATACTCTTCTGACCTGAGAATGCTGTATAGCCCTCCTCTGACTGGGAATTCCAGCTCAGAAGCCCTAGTGCAACCATAGTCTCTCCTTCTCCGTATTGAGACCAAGCTGCAGTTACTATGTATTGCTCAGTCTGAAGTAGCATCTGTACTCTGCTCTCCTGAGGTCTCCAGTCTGTACATTACATGGAGTTGTTCAGGATAGCCTTGCTTTGCTTCTCCTGAAGTCACTGCTCACAACAGAATTATTCTTTGACCTCTCCACCAGTGGTGAAGCTGCATGCTCTGCTACTGGGGGCAGAGAGCAGCCGGGGCCATGGCTGGTGCCCGCGGGGGCGTGTCACGTGTTCTGGGGGCGTGGTGCACTGCCTGTGGGGGCGTGGTGCCCAACGCACGGGGGGGTGCTTGGCGCATGTCATGGGGGGGGGGTGCTGCGATGGCACCCTACCAGAATAGTGGTGCCAGGGGGAGTTCGCTCCCTCCACACCCCCATTCCTCCGCCAGTGCTCTCCACCTGCCTTACTTTTTGTGATTCTGTTGGTTAATTTCCTGAAGTGTTGCACTAGGCCTTTGTAGGCAGAGGGGTTGTGTCTTGGACTAGTGACCTTGTTAAGGGATATTTGGAACTGCTTAAATAAGAAGTCTACAGCCCATATTTAACAATCTTTGAAGAGTTCTATCACTGTCTGGACACCATGGTTTTAGGGTTTCTTTGTTTTAATGATGTGTGGATCAATTAGGTGGTTTCAAAACCTTTCAGTTAAAAAGGGGAAGTTGACATTTGCTGTTTATGCCTGCAATATATTTAAATTTGTTATAAGCACTGACCAAACCCTCCTGAGCATATTAAGAAAGGTAAAATGCTTTCTGTGTTTTCTGCAGTTTAGGGAAGGGCTTATCACAACATGTCAAGGAAGCTTTGGCCTGAAAGATTGAAAAGCTTTTAGTGGCTTTCCCCTTCACTTTTGTTTGTTCACCAAAACACCCCCATTTTCCATGTCAGTGGTGATTTTCTTTTCAGCCCAAGATATAGCCTTTGAAATACCCTTCTGGCTCTGGGTTACCCATCCTTGGAATTCAAGGACTCCCCAAGTCCCATCTTGGAATCTATGGGATCAACCCAACTAAATAAGCGCATTATAGAATGGACAAGGAAACTCACTCTTAGGCTATTGGTCTTGAAATGAGACGCTGGGTAGGATTTTGGAGGGCTTGTTTTGGATAAGTCTGCAGCCCTAGGGTCCATGGAATGAGCTCCACTTTGTTCAAAACACCAGCAGCACTGCCTGGTGTTCTAACTAGTATTGCATGCTTCCTCTTAAACAAATCTCATCAGCGTGAAATGAACTGACACTGTGCCCGATTGCATTATCGTATCCGTATGACTCTGAAGTTTGTTGGTTGAGAGTGGCTGTCTGATGGCTCCCCTCCTCGTCCCCATGCATGGAAATGAGACATGTATCTCAGAGACACTATCCTGGGGAGCATAAATGTATAAATAAACACATGAATAAAACATAGCAGCTAAATGAGCAACTCTGCCAGGGTCAGACAAACAGTCTGAGCATTCAGCAATATTATCTACATGGTATTGGAAAACTCAGACTAGTGATAGCCCCTATTTATTATTTACTTATAGTTTAAAAAGCACTAGTTGGCTTGTCTAGGCTGCATTGTATCCCGTTCCCATTGCTGACGTCAGTGGGATTATGCCTACTGAATGCACCAGGAGCTAGGAGTGGGTTGCAAGCTATCTCCATCACAGAATTTAAAGGTGTACTGCTAGACTGGCAATAGGGCATTGTGAGTCACACACATCCCTTACAGAGCACCATGATCTCATGACACAGGTGGGGGAAGTGAGGAAAGGAAGAAGGAAACTGGCCACGATTTAATTGCCTGTGTCAACTCATTCAGTTGCACACACAATTTAAAACTACCTATTTCCTGGCATCAAGTGTCTGCGTAGTAGCAAAACAACTAGCCAACTAGTAATTGTATCTTAAAGGAACTTCCAAAATGGAGTGAGCCTTCATTCATTTCATCTGTTGTCAGCAGCTGAATTCATGGTCAGGGTGATTGTGTTTTGGTGGGCTTTGCCTAGAGGCATTCAGTGGACTAAATAAACAGCTATTCCTTGGATCATGAGGACTATAAAGGCTGTCAGGTAAGCTTCTTAGAGTCCCACTTTGTTTTACAGGCAGGGAATGCACAACTCAGAAACAAAATGTGATCCTCAGGCATTATCTGAATGTAGGCACAGGATGCAGCAATATTGATGTAGCTAAGCAGGTCCAGATCTGGTCAGTGTCTGGACGTGAGAACACCGACACATTACCATAAGGAGAAAGGCAGGAAATCAGTGCAATAAAAATGATTTTTCCTGTAGGTAAAAAAGACGATTGCAGTGACAGTACTAAATTAGAGGACTGTCTCTGTCTCTACATTCTTCAGCTGTGTGATACACCCCTTTCTGCCTCAAGTGCCCAAGTGAGATTTGACCAATTCCATGGACCACAACAGAGAGTCATGGAGTTGGAGCACCAACTAATATTGGTTCTGGTTCACTCAAACAAGAAAGCAAAGTCACAAGTCTGAGAGGAAGCAAATCAACCTGGGGATAACAAACTAATGCAAATGTGTTGGGTACAGAGCAGCTGAGAGACAAGCAACTTTTGGCACCTCTTGTCTTTGAGGTTTTCTACCTCAGCTGTTCATTAGAAAAACTTGTAACTAAGGATTACCACTGCTTATTTCCTCTTCTCTCCCAATCCATTTTATTTTTGTGCCACGCCTTTCCATTCTCATTTGAAAGCCTGATGACAGAGACTGTCTTTCTAGCGATCTGGGACTTCCGGGGAGGTGCCTCCGGTAATGGCGGAATTCCTCTGACCGGGAGGAATCTGCTCCATGGGAATCTGGGTCTGGCCACCACGGCGAAGGCGGAGACCCGTTAAAATCACAGGCAGGAGAAGCCTGTGAGTGTGGGATTCGGCGGGCACCTTTTGCGCCTCCCCCACTCGCGGGGAAACCCGGTTTTTGGGGCTCCGGAGTGACGTGGGGTGAGTGGCGCGGTGCATCGAATCGTCTGCTTCTTCCACGGAGCGAAGCCGCATAGCTGTTGCTGGAGAGCGCTGACCTTTTCCTGTGGACAATTTGACTTTAAAGTAATTACCCATGAGTAGATCTGAAACGGAAGAATTGGATTTCTAAATGTTTAATTTGGTATCGCAACGGGGAGGTTCAAAACAGGAAGTCCGCCTTCCCCTTTTGTAAATAGACTGAGGCAATGAAGTTGCAAGCTGGAGTCCTGGAAAGTCTTTTGTAAAAGATTAAATTTCCATCAATAAAGAACATTAAACCCCCTCTTGGAGGCAGGAGAGAGAGGGGGAAGTTGCGGATTGATTATGCCTGTGGGAGAGAGTGAAGAGATTTAAAACACCGCCGCTCTGACCCTGGAAACGGGCTGCTAGTAGTACTGACGTCTTTTGGAATGTTCATTGACAGCATTTAGAACGTTCATTGACAGCTAGTTAAACAAGAGAAATACATTGTTTCTTCTGTCTCCGGCTGCTTTAAAAAGGAGTAAAAGTAACTGAAAATTGAAACTAATTTGAAACTAATTTTGGATTGTTGAAAAGAGGATACTATTGACTATTACAAATAGAAACTGTTTCCCCCCTGGTGGAAGCCTTTGAAACCGGTTGTTTTACAAGAGCTGGGATAGGGGAATCTCCAGCTGCAAGTTAAAAACCGTGAGACTCTGGGACTGACCTTGAATCTTTTAAGTGTTATGGTAAATGGAAGAGGAAAAACAGACCAGTCAACTGCTGACAAAACATTAAGGTCTGGGAGGACTTGGCAACAATCCAGAAGAGGTTCATCATCAGGCCCCCCTGCTCCTTCTGTTGCTGCCTTTGTACCAGCATATTTAAAACCAAGAAGAATGTCGACAGAAGAGGCTTTAGTGGCTGCATTTTATAAGATAAATGACTCATTGGATCAGCTTAACAGGAAAATGGACATGATAAATGCGAAAATGGATGTTTCAATTACTAAAATCAACCTAAATACAGAAAGTATAAATAATACCAATACAGAAACCACCCAGAAATTGATACAGGAACCTACTTTGATACGGCAAACTGCGGAGGAAGCCAGGGAAAAAGCTGTTGTTGCTGAATGTAAAGTAACACAACTGGAGAGAAAGAGAAAGAGAGCCCCAGCCCTACAGAAGCAATTTGATGAACATAAGTTGACGCTTGCTATGACTGAACTTAAAGAAAAACAGACGAATTTGAGGATTAGAGTTCACTTTTGGTGGACATGCCCAAGGATTAAGACACTTTGGGAGATGATCTATAACGAAATGAAAAAGGTATTTAAATATACCCTCTTGAAGAAGCCAGAGGCCTTTCTCCTGGGCATGGTCGGCCAATTGGTGTTAAAGAAGAATAGAACTTTTTCCACGTATGCAACAATGGCAGCAAGAATATTCATTGTGAAGTACTGGAAGACACAAGATTTATCTATTCGGGAAGAATGGCAGATGAAGTTGATGGACTATATGGAATTGGCGGAAACGACTGGCAGAAATCCGAGACCAGGGAGAAGAGTCAGTGTAAGAAGACTGGAAAAAGTTTAGGACTATTTATAGAAATATTGTAAAAATAATGAATGTAAGAAAAATGTTGGAATGAAGTTATATGGCTCTAGTAGAAATGCTATAAGGAATTAAGTATAAATAGATTAATAGAGTATTAAAGGGAAAAATAAGGTCAAAATATGTTAAGATAATTATAGGATAGAAACAGAGGAAGATGGAAAGGAATTGCTGAAACAATTAATAGAAGTGGAATACAAAAAGGGAGGTGTGAGGAGGTCGTGGAAATAAGGGAATGAAAGATAAGATATTGAAATTGTTTTGTGTGTTAAATGGTTTGTGTCTTATTTTGTTATGCTTTTTTTGTTTTGTCTATTTTGTTGTGTTTAAACGGTTGAAAATTAATAAATATTATTTTTAGTTTTTTTAAAAAAAGAGACTGTCTTTCTAGCGATCTGCAAGCTGCTCCAGTATTATTAATTTTATTATTATTATTACTGAACAGGTGTATCTCAAGGACTGCCTCTCTCCAAATGAACTGACATGGACCCTCCAATCATCTAAAGAAAGTGACTGGTATTTCCTGGTGTTTTAAAACCTCTTATTCGCTTGCCACCTGTATGGCAGAGTGCTTTATAGACTGGTTATCTGTTCAAAGCCAAGGGGCATTGCCTTATGATAGGATGCAGCACAACTTCAACAACAATGTGAGATTGACTTCTATACTTCCTTCTTTAGTAACTAATGGTAGTTCTCTCTTTTTTCACCTCCTTGATTCTGATAGTCTTTCTTTAATAAATGTATACTTAGCACAATTGGACTTTAAGTGCTGCATTTTACAGGAGTGCTGATCTGGGACAAATTGTTAAATTGGTAACACTGACTGAATTCTTTCTCTAGAAATGGCAGCTCTTAGAAACGTAACCACTCAGAGTTAAAACCCGAAAAGCTTAGGAGTGTCAGTCCCTTTACATTCACAGGACGGCAAGCTGGAATAAAGGTGGTGGTATCAGCAGAGAGAAATCTTTGCTTGACACCTGATTCTCAAGCAGCTCATGCTGCTGTTACACACACACACACAGAGAGAGAGAGAGAGAGAGAGAGAGAGAGAGAGAGAGGCTTTCATGTTCTTTAGCTTCTCTGATGTGAATCAAAGGGTGCTGTATTCAAGGTGGCAATTCTAGAACATTGAGATTGAGATATTAAGAGGTATCGCATTTACCATAGCTGATTGATGTCAGGTGTTGTCCTCCAAGCTGAGACCATGTAACGTAAGTTGTCAAGATCCAAAAGTTTTCTCTTGTTTCCAGTGTTCTTGGATCAGATGACATCTCTATTTCAGTAGCTGATCAAACAGAAAGGTCATAATTATCTGAATTAAAGACTTTTACAACCAGTTGTTCAGCTTTTTTGGATCAAGATCGCAGATGTATGGTTCCTAAAACATGTGTCTAGGTCAGTTGTTTCTCTTACCCATGATGGAATATGACATCTTGGGCTCTGGCACTCAGTGGTATAAATTATATTGCCTGACTTGCAGGTGATGCTTTTTTTTTTTTGCTAAAGTAAGTTCTGCCAGTCATAGGGCTCTTGAACTGAACTGCCTCCAGGAGATAAGTGGAAGTAAGACAACGTTTGGATTCACAAGGCTGTGATCTAGGATTGCTGATTGGTGGTTTAAGCACAGTTCTCACTAATCTGTGTGGATGTGGAGCCTGGAAAATGCTACAACAGGAAGCTTGCTGATTGCTTTAGGAACATGTTCAGAGTTCACTAACAATGGGTAGCTTTCTCTGAATGCCAGGTGATACTAGATTAAAATCTATACTGAATGGGGATACAGTTTCCTTGGTTGGCTAGCACTATACTTTCACGGATAACAGCTTTTCTAGATAAGATGGTAGCCAGGTCAATGACATGTGTAGGAGGTGCTCTTTAAGTTCTTCTTTGGTAATGTTCTTATTTGCAAAAGCATCTGATGCTGAAAGCCAAGCTGTAGATGAATTTTCTCTTTATGCTTTTGGGATGGCAGGATTTTCAATTTAGGTAGGTGTGGGCATCAGTAGATTTGTTATAAAGATCTGTGACTATCTGTTGTTCTCAATGGTGAGGAGAATATCAAGGGATGTCTGGGGCTTTTGATGGTGCCATGAAACCTAAGTGACTGAATGTAGAGATTGGGGCCGGGTCTGCCCCCCAACTCATAACAGTACCATAGAGTAAATTGTCCTGCCAGGTTTGGCTATGTCCATTTCCCTTACCCTGGGAGGAAATGGGTAATCAACCTATTGTTCACCCTCTAGTCTGTCTCAGAAGCTCAGCATGTAAAGAGGTTTCAGCTAGTTGCTCCAGTTCAGACAGCACAAGCTATTCTTGACTCCCTACACCAATAACTTAGGAACCATCACCACTTTTTTTTTAAAAAATGTATTTTTATTAGAGATTTTCTTTGTTTACAAAAGTATGTGCAATGTGTCTTTTTTTCCAAGTAACATTTTTTACAGATCAGTTTCATTTGTTGAGACATTAGGAAGAAAATGGGGAAAGAGGTGGAGGGGGGAAAGGTGAGTGGGGTTGGGGTGGGGTGGCGATGTTTCTATTTTGCGTAATATATGTGGGATTTTGTGTCAGTGTCGCTTGTGCAGGTTCTCTCCTATTCACTTGTGTTCCTTTGGTGGTGAGAGAGGTTGAGGGTGGCCTAGGGTGTGATTGTTTGTCATTGGCTGTGGTGAGCTTTGCTTTCGTGTGGGTGGGTGGGTGGGTGTTTTGGACCAGGTTAGCCATATTGATTTGTATGCTGTTGGTGAACCATCACCATTTTGTAACTAAGACAAGTTTTACTGCCTGTGCAATTTTTTCAAAATGATGTATGGAAAAGCACATGAATCTGACCTTTGGAGAGTTTGTAGCTAAAACATTTTTAACTTACCAAACGTAGTCCCCCCCCCCCCGCCCCGTGCTAGGGGAAGTGTGAAACTTTAGAAGGAAACCTTTTAAGAAGACAGTTTTGAGGTTTTACAGTCTATATTTCCATGCTTTACTTTGCTGCATATTTTGTGATTTTAAATCTGTACTAGCATTTTCTTATCAAGGGTTTCTTGCCCCAAACCTGGATATATACACCCAGGGAATTCTCCTCTTATACCATTTTTTTCCTTGAGCCAACAAAACCTGCCTCTGGAGGTCCCAATTGTGTGTGAGAGAGAGTGGGGGGGCAGGGGGCTCTGGGAGCTTCAGATTGAGGCTAAGTTTAAGGAACTGGGTATTGCTATTCTGCTGGTGATGCATGTCCCATGGATATGTCTGGCTCCTCATCTTCTATGTATGTGTCTTGCCTGCTGCTCGATGCTGGCATCATCATACCATAATTGATATTTGATAATGATTTGCTAATTGGCAAGCAATGGTATTTAGCATTGAAGGTTTGACACAAAAATCTCAAATATTCTTTAGAAATACTTTCTGTCTCATTTCCCAAGGAGTTCTTGCACATCTGTCACAGAACAGTTATGTCATGGATACAGAACTTCTGTTCTTCCAGGTGTTGTTGGATTCCAGCTCCCATCAACCTTAGACAGCATTGTCAATGACCAGGTATGATGAGAGTTCAAAGTGTTGGTGCTGACCTTTAAGGCCCTAAACAACCTCGGTCCTGGGTACCTGAAGGAGCGTCTCCGCTTCCATCGTTCAGCCCGGACATTGAGGTCCAGCACCAAGGGCCTTCTGGCAGTTTCCTCACTGTGAGAAGTGAAGTTACAGGAAACCAGGTAGAGGGCCTTCTTGGTAGTGGCACCTGCCCTGTGGAACATCCTCCCATCAGATGTCAAGGAAATAAGCAACTATCTTACTTTTAGAAGACATCTTAAGGCAGCCCTGTTTAGGGAAGTTTTTAATGTTTAATGCTTTATTGCGTTTTTAACATTTGATTGGGAGCCACCCAGAGTGGCTGGGGAAACACAGCTAGATGGGCGGGGTAATAATAATAATAATAATAATAATAATAATAATAATACTAATAATAATAATAATAAATCCAGCTATACATGATCCACAGATTTACCCATCCATGCCTTAAGTATTGCTTCAGGCTACATGCGCAGTTCAAGGGACGTGGGTGGCGCTGTGGGTTAAACCACAGAGCCTAGGACTTGCTGATCAGAAGGTCGGCGGTTCGAATCCCCATGATGGGGTGAGCTCCCGTTGCTCGGTCCCTGCTCCTGCCAACCTAGCAGTTCAAAAGCACGCCAAGTGCAAGTAGAAAAATAGGTACCGCTCCGGCGGGAAGGTAAACGGCGTTTCCGTGCGCTGCTCTGGTTCGCCAGAAGTGGCTTAGTCATGCTGGCCACATGACCCGGAAGCTATACGCCAGCTTCCTCAGCCAATAAAGCGAGATGAGCGCCGCAACCCCAGAGTCGGCCATGACTGGACCTAATGGTCAGGGGTCCCTTTACCTTACTACATGCTCAGTTCATGATTAGGCATCCTGTTGTGAACTGAGGGTGGCACCCAACAATAGCATCTCATTAGTGCAAGGATTTGCACAATGGGATTTCCTCTCTCTCTTCCCCCACAGACACCCCGAGTCTCCCTGGAGGATTGGACGAATCCCTAGAACAGATTTAGGGAGTTCAGGGGGAGGAGTCTTGTTGCACAAGCAGAAACACTTGCACTGACGGGACACCTTACTTAGTGCTATATTGGATACAACCTTGGGTGCACCTAACATTCTCCCTGGGCAGAGGATGATCACTCTTATTGGTTGGTAAACAGGTTTTCAGGGAAGCTTACCTGCCACTACATGGCTTCTTAGTGAGAATCTCTTAGTAAGCTTCAAAAAAACCAAACACATAAAAAACCCACCCTGGAAAATAATTTGAAATCATTACATCACATTTGATAGCGGACATGCAATATTGTTTAATATTTTTTTCCAATATTTGACAGTTCACAGGGATTGCTATTTATTTTTTTAGCACCTGGCAGCATTAGATAGATGTCATGTAAAGGCATCTAATGTCTGGCAGCTGCCAGCTAATGAGATTTCATGTTTGATGCCAACCCAAATCAAAGAGATGCCAATATGGAATTCTGAATTTGAATTTTCAGAATTTCAAATATTCATGAAAGTCTGTGTCGGCTCTAATGAGTGCATATCTGGATAACCCTGAAAAAGCAGCAAATGTGAACTGTTCATCCAGGTTCTGTCCCACTACTGTTATTTAATTTTCTGGTCCTCATGAACCGAATCCCATTCTCCCATCTATATAGTGTGAAAAACCTTGGCTCTTAAACACGGAGGCCTCTATCCGATGCAAACGTTCTCTTTGCAGGGGGGCAGGGCAGGGAGAATGCCATCTGAAGCTGAGACTCTGAACAACGAGATAGATGATGTAGCCTGGAGCAAAATGATATGGCTAAGTTACGAATTTCTGAAACTGACAATGTTTTTAGCACTGGTGCCCGTTGGCATTAACTTCAGCCATAGCAATGTCTTTGCTCTAATTGGTTTTTAATGCAGAAACAAGACCAGTTAGTGAAGGTATTCTCCTATTATTTTTTTCTCCTTTGCTTCCAGGGGTCTTTTAATTCATGTGCTATGCATGCTGAATCAGAATTCTCAAATGGACCCTCAGAGTCCCTAGCTGAATATTTGCATACACAGGT